TTTATTAATAACTCAATAATTATTGCAAGTTTAGCGAAATGATACAGGACTTTTCTATTCAGTTTAACATGCTGTACCCGTTCACGAAAGATAGTTCGCGAATTATGGGATACCCTGTATATTTACGTTTCTCATCCGAAATTACTCGTTGACGCACGAATTTCGTGTTGCCTTCCTGCAATTTCTGTCCTTTTTATTAAGGTCTTAAAATTTCGTATATCTAACAATAAATTTGTATATTGTATATGGTCGATTAAGAAATTAAGCACATGAAACAACGCCGAATACTCGAGCCTCGAGCAATACACGGAATTATTCTTTTTCTTTTCAGCGGTCCGTTCTGTTTTCTCTATCAGTCTCATGTACATGTCCTACATATCTCATCCCCATCTCTCTCTCTCTCTCTCTCTCTCTCTCTCTCTAATGACAATTGAGATAAAATTCTTTATAACTTTAAAGACGTAAGAAACATTTATAAAGTATAATTTGAAGCCAGAAAATATAATAACTAAAATATAATTTGGAAATTATTTTTAACTAGATTTATACTTGTTTCTACGTATACTTTGGGAACAATGAGAATTTTCGGACATTTATAGAAAACTAATTCGATTTATATAACTTTAGAAACAAGTTAGATATATATTATTTATTTTATTTAGGAACATTTATATATTAAAATATTACATGTAAAAGAGTATATATCTTTTATATATGAACATTTGTAGGACTAAAAATGTCCTCCGTTTTGTACTTTTGCAATAAGTAAGGAGAAATTAATTTAAGAAGTCGGTCTATCCGCGCGAATAAAAGCGTACAGCGAAAAGAAACCGTTTACTACCTTGATACAAAGCGCACAGTGAAGCAATGGAAAAAGCACTCAGCTCGATATTCAATATGTTAATGTTTTCTCCGATTATAATAGAAAATTGATAATTGACCGTCAATCGTTCTATTTTTAACCTTATTTAATATTCAATCTTGACAGATCAATCGATTGATCTGGATACAAATATAATAATTAAATAGGAAAAATAAAATTTCTCAATTATCAATTTTCTATTATAATCGGAGAAAACATTAACATATTGAATATCGAGCTGAGTGCTTTTTCCATTGCTTCACTGTGCGCTTTGTATCAAGGTAGTAAACGGTTTCTTTTCGCTGTACGCTTTTATTCGCGCGGATAGACCGACTTCTTAAATTAATTTCTCCTTACTTATTGCAAAAGTACAAAACGGAGGACATTTTTAGTCCTACAAATGTTCATATATAAAAGATATATACTCTTTTACATGTAATATTTTAATATATAAATGTTCCTAAATAAAATAAATAATATATATCTAACTTGTTTCTAAAGTTATATAAATCGAATTAGTTTTCTATAAATGTCCGAAAATTCTCATTGTTCCCAAAGTATACGTAGAAACAAGTATAAATCTAGTTAAAAATAATTTCCAAATTATATTTTAGTTATTATATTTTCTGGCTTCAAATTATACTTTATAAATGTTTCTTACGTCTTTAAAGTTATAAAGAATTTTATCTCAATTGTCATTAGAGAGAGAGAGAGAGAGAGAGAGAGAGAGAGAGAGAGAGAGAGAGAGAGATGAGATATGTAGGACATGTACATGAGACTGATAGAGAAAACAGAACGGACCGCTGAAAAGAAAAAGAATAATTCCGTGTATTGCTCGAGGCTCGAGTATTCGGCGTTGTTTCATGTGCTTAATTTCTTAATCGACCATATACAATATACAAATTTATTGTTAGATATACGAAATTTTAAGACCTTAATAAAAAGGACAGAAATTGCAGGAAGGCAACACGAAATTCGTGCGTCAACGAGTAATTTCGGATGAGAAACGTAAATATACAGGGTATCCCATAATTCGCGAACTATCTTTCGTGAACGGGTACAGCATGTTAAACTGAATAGAAAAGTCCTGTATCATTTCGCTAAACTTGCAATAATTATTGAGTTATTAATAAAAATATCTAGCGAATGAGTGGGTAGAAAGCGGTAGGCCAGAATCGGTGGGCATGTACGATGACTTATTTATTTACGTCTTTTAGTAACAAAAGCATTATCTGATCGAGAGGCAGAGTCATGCAGCGAGCGGCGAGCAATGCCGCCGCGCCGAAAAGTAAGATGATACTTTTGTTATTAAGCGACGTAAACAAATAAGCCCTACATGCTCACCGATTTCGGTCTATCGCTTTCCACTCGCTTATTCGCTTAAATATTTTAATTAATAACTTAATTAATAATTATTACAAATTTATTTGTTTGTCACGGTAACGATATAAGACGTCGTTACATTTTTATAGTAACGGTAACGAATTAGTGGTTAGTTACTTTTTAATTCCTTATTATCTTACTATATATGCTATATACATTTGCCAAAGACTAATTCAGAGTTTTTAATTGTAACATATATTATTATATTTAATATAGATTATTAAGTAAGAGAATTTTAAAATCCAATAGCTTACTTTTTAGCATTACAAAAAATGAAAACGTAACAAAAAGTAACGAAAAAATAACGAATCGTTACTTTCTAAGTAATAATAACGGTAACGCGTTACTTTTTAAAATTAATAACGAATAACGGTAATAAGTTACTTTTTACAATAAGTAATTGTAACAGTAATGTGTTACTTTTTCAGAGTGACGGTCCCAACTCTGAGTTAAATGTAAATATTGTGAATTGTGTATTCTGATTATATAAACTATGTAAAATTTGAAAGTATTATTTCGGGACACCTTATTTTAATTGCCAAATAATATATTAAAAGTATAATTTGAAGGCTTCTTATATCCTAGAAAAATACATTTTATTAAGGTTTGAAATTTTCAAAAACTACGTATATGTATTCAAACTATAAATTTTACATCATATTTGATCTCTCTAAAGTATAGTTTCTAATTATATTTTACAAGTCTTCAAAGTATACGGAACGGACCAGATAAATTATAATAAAAGATGACCTCGAAGTAAGTTCACAATATATAAACTACATAAATGAATCAAGAGACACGGTAGTGTCTCACGACCAGTTAAGGGCGTAGCCGACGAGACACCGTGTATCTTAACGCGAGTCGGGCAGTTGTATTATTTCGGGACACCGCTAAATAATATATTTAAAGTATAATTCGAAGACATGTCCTCGAAATATACATTTCATTTGAGTTCTCAGAGTAAATAAATTATATAAAAGATGACCTCGAAGTAAACTCACAATATATAAACTACATAAATGAATGTATTATTTCGAGACACCGCTGAATAATATATTTAAAGTATAATTCGAGGACATGTTCTCGAAATATACATTTCATTTATGAGTCCTCAGAGTAAACGTTGAGTATAAAAAATGCTTTAACACCCAAAATATTGTTTTATTTTTAAAAATGACAATTATCTAAACTTTGGGAGTTTATCTAATATGGTTTGCAATTGAAAAAATAGGGTGTCCCAAAATATACGCTGGACATATGAGGACATGTCCTCGAAATATACGCTGAACATATGAGAGCATGTCCTCGAAATATACATTTCATTTATGAGTCCTCAGAGTAAACGTTGAGTATAAAAAATGCTTTAACACCCAAAATATTGTTTTATTTTTAAAAATGACAATTATCTAAACTTTGGGAGTTTATCTAATATGGTTTGCAATTGAAAAAATAGGGTGTCCCAAAATATACGCTGGACATATGAGGACATGTCCTCGAAATATACGCTGAACATATGAGAGCATGTCCTCGAAATATACATTTCATTTATGAGTCCTCAAAGTAAACGTTGAGTATAAAAAATGCTTTAATATCCAAAATATTGTTTTATTTTCAAAAATGACAATTATGCAGAGTTTGGGAGTTTATTTAATATGGTTTGCAATTGAAAAAATAGGGTGTCCCAAAATATACGCTGGACATATATATATATACATATATATATATATAATATATATATATATATATATATAAATATATAAATGAAATTGCAATTGAAATTTGCACTTTTCTTACCATATAATATTTCATTAATATATGTTTCTTTAATTACTAATTTTAATACTTTTTATATTTATTTTCTTGTTTGTATACAAGAATCCCTTTTTAAAAAAGGCATGCAAAATCGATTATCGCAAATATTGTTGTTGATTTTCCGCGATGCTGATTGGTTGTCTTGATTAACATTTGCGTTATATTAATAGCATCAAACAACTGCCATCGTCAAGATTACTAGTTTGACAGTTGAAAAATAAAAAATTAAAATAATATCAATAACGCGCGCTTTGCGCACGTTTGTGTTGTCTGATACCTGATACATAACAAAAATTCAGAAATTAAAATTATATACATAATCAAAATACAGAAATTAAAATTATATGCATAATTAAAATTCAGCGAAATAAAATTATGTTCATATTTATAGCATCATGCAACTGTCATCGAAAATTAACAATTTAACAATTGTAAAATAAATAATAGAAATTATATTAAAAGCGCGCGCGAAACACGCTCTTGTGTCATCTAGAAATTTAAAAAGACATCAAACTATATTTAATTTCTCTATTTATCTTTTGTTTACAGTGTGATTTACAAATCTTAAATAAATATTCCTTTTCCAAAATGATGATATTTCTGAAACTATTATTAAGTAGCGGATTTATGTTTATCGCTGAGACGGCTTCTATTCGTAATGAATCATCTTTATGTTGTGATCCATCAGAATATATAAACCCAATCCATTACGATATCAAGCTTATATCATATATTGAAGGACATATTTTACATGGAGAATACAATATCAGTATAAGCATTTTTAACAAAACGCAAGACGTATTTTTACATTCAGAAAAACTATGTATTAAAAATATAATTTTATTTTCAAATATAAAAAAATATGAGAATGATAAAGATACAGTTTATAACTCAACATATAATATTGATGAAAACATAATTCATGTTTCTTTTCGGATGAGTTATCACCAGGAAATTACACTTTAAATATAAAATATCTTGGTATTGCTGATAAAATATTTAGAATTTTTGACACAAAAGGAAAAATTGCGTAAGTAAATAGGATATGTTTATTAGAAAAGTACAATGTGCAATTACATAAAACATTGCAATTAATATACTAATTATTTATGTATCAAATGTTTCAAAAATTATTATATACCATAACATTTAAATATAAAGACGGGTAATCTTTTTTTTAGTACATATTATTACTTATTACATTTATACGTTTTTTAATTCCAATATTTTTATGCTTACTAAAAATGTTCATTAATATATATTCCTTGAAATGTATAGTTTGATAGGTGCTACTCAGTTTCATATAATCTGCACCCGACGATTGTCTTCATGTTGGAATGAACAGAATTTATTGTTAGAAGCAACCTTTAATATATCTATAGGATGTAATCAATGTACGGCTTTGTCAAATATACCATTGCGACAAACGGAAGAAAATAAGTTTAAAATGTTATGGACACACTTCGCTACCACATCTGCAATGTCGCCTTATCTTGCAACAATGATTGTGTCTAATTACCTATTACGTATTGATAAAAACACTCGAAACATTGAAATGTGGTGCAGAAACGAATCTGGATTTCACATAGAATTTGCAGAAAATGTAGCTGAAAATATCACGTTGCTGTTCAAAAATGAATGGAAACAATGTTCGAACAATATTTCGAAGGTAACACATGTTGCAATTCCAAATTTCCATGACAATGGCATAATAGTTTTCGGACTTGTTTTTTATAAGTGAGTACAAGTGTTTAGAATTACATTAAAAATAAAATTATATTAGTATGCAAATAGATAAAATTTTAAAACATGTATATACAATATTTTGTTTCTGTGCACGTTCGAAAGTATAAAGAATTGTGAAATATAAAAACTTTCGTAGAATTATGTTTATTTATATTATTCCAAAGTTAAAGTATACCGTTTGAATAAAAGGTAAAGTATGTATGTTAAATTGTACCCTCTCAGGTAGATGTTAAAACTGTAATGAAGCTATGAAAGAAATGACATTTTTAAAATTTTCAAATTATTGTTCTTTGTCAACGATATACACATTAACAGAAATTTATCGTTGTTTCATATTGTAAATTAAAAATAAAGAAAATATTATTTGGTTTAATTTACAATACTGATTTTTTTGCTAAATTGCACCCATGACTTTGTAAATCGTACAAGTAACAATTAAATTAAAATATTGTAACAAAAATAAAGTTTTATTTTCTATAAAAGTTCTGAGTGTTAACATTAAAATATAACTTTCAGAGAAGCAGATATCATCTACAATGAAAATTTATATCCTATTGCTCACAAAATCGAAGTAGCTCAATTAGTAGGACGTAAAGTGACACAGGAATGGTTTAATAACATGTTGAACGATCCATTAGTGTCGGATTTTTGGTTTAAAAAAGGTCTTATTTTATTGCTTGCAACGTATGCTGTCAATAAGGTACGTAATTTTAAATATTATCAACTCTATCTCGCTCCCACCTTCTTGTAAACGATATAATACTTAAACATTTAGATTGCAAGGTTTTCTTAAATCAAACCCTTTTTACAAAATCTATATGCATTCTTTGTGAATTGTCTGGAAATATATTTAGCATTATTTAAAATAATTAATTATTTTAAAGAAATACTTTTTTCACATATTTACATATATATAATTATAATTAATTTATTTAAAATTTTTATTTTTTTAACACCACTAGTACATATTTTTAAATTTTTATGTAATATAATATAAAAAAATTAATAAAAAACGAGTACACATAATATTTATTTAATTAAATTGGGTAAAAAGAAGTTTGCAATAATATAATATCATGAGGCAATAATTTAAAAATACGTAATACATATTTGTTAATTATATTAATACAAAATTTAGATTTCATTATTATATATTTATTTTAATGTGTTTTTTAAAATAAAAAAATGATTCGTTTTAACAATGAAGTAACAGTAATAATATTAGTATTTATTTTTAATGCAAGTATTTTCAAAACGCTTATATCGATATAATAATTATTTTTTCTATAGACTTATCCAGATTATCCAATAATAAATTTATTTGTTGTTCAAAATCAACATTACTCTTTTAATTTGGATAGTGATTATTATATGTGGAATTTTACTTCACAAGTTAACAGTTCATTGGAAATTCCTAATTCTATCAAAGGTATACGTAATTTAATAAAATAGTCTGCGCAAATTTTTAACTGTTAATGGTTTAAAATATGTGTAAAATTAGAAGATAATTAATTTTTTATCTGGATTTTAATTTAATATATTTATAAAAGTACACACCTGCGCGCGCACACGCTCATGCTTATTCACACACTCACGCAAACGCGCGCAACACACACACACACACACACACACACACACACACACACACACACACACACACACGCACACGCACACACAGTGTACAGTGATAGCCGTACATATGTAAGTAGAGGGAATGGTCCTTTAAAGTTTTGCTATTTTCGTAAGTATTAAGAAGAAATTTACTTATAAAATAAAACGATAAACGGTGCGGCAATAAAAAACATTTCACTCTTACGCGATTACTATCTTATATATAGATTTATATTATAATTTTCTTTATAAAATTACTCTGTTTACATGCAACCATTATAATAAATATACATTTATAAAGTATTTAATTTATAATTTTGATGTAAATTATAGCACCCTTTATAGTGCGCATGATGCAACACGCCTTCGGACACATTTTTTGGAAAAACATTCTCTCATATGCAAATAGCACGTGAGTAATACAACATAGAATATAATATAAAAAAATAAAATTATAGAAATCTTAAATAATTTATAATAATATACAAATTTTTTTTATATAATGTCCCTTATTTTCTTTCGTTTCTTCTGACATTATTTCATAATGTTTTTGCTTAGTGTTACAATTCCTCTTTTTGTGCTACATTTGTTTTCTAATCTTATTTAACAGGTTTTTAAATATGTAAAACTTATATCTCTTTTCTGTTCATAACTTTTTTGTTAATAACTTTTTTAAAATAATGAGCGACACTTAAAACCTCTTTATACTTACTCAGGTCAGTGACCTTGACAACAAATGTCAAGGTCATCGAAATCGGAAGTGGCTTCCCATATCTCAATAACTACCAACATTTTCTATATAATATGAACATTATACAGATAATTTAAACATATTTGTAACTTGTTTCTATTTATATATTTTACGTACTTTGTGAATTTAGGCTATCACATTGTCTAGACTCTGTGAATCATTTGAATGTTGCTTTCGAAATGAATGATGTTGTATATCTAACAAGAATGGAATATTGGCATTCGGAAAAGCACTGTCCTCTTATTAAAGTAAAACGAAATTATAGTGATCCAATGAGCCAAACAACTGTGTCGATACAATATATCGACATATTAAAAATTCGCCACATTCCTATAACTTTTACTACGGAAGCATCTCTCAATTTTAACAATTTTACTCATCATTTTCTAAATCTTTACGTGTCACAGGATCTCAAATTATTATTACCATTTAAAGAGGGTGGTTGGATGATATTTAATATACAACAAGTTGGTAAATATCGACATATGGACTTATTATGATTTATTTCTCATCTTTATTTTACAAACATATAATTTACATAATTTTACTTTTTTATTTATTTTTTTATCTAATTTTATTTATTTTTTTATTCATTGTTCTATAAAATTTTGAGATATTTATTATATAATTATAATATAATTTATTATAATTATAATAGTTTTAAAACTTTTTGTGTAATATTTTGCATTATTATATATACATACTTATATATATATATATATATAATATTATATTTAAGATATACGCGCGTAGGCGTTTTCTAAATAATATCATTCAATATTAATGTTATATTTTTACAAATATGTTATTCAAATAATTGTAAAAATTATTAAAAAGATAATTATATTTATAAAATTAATAATAATAAATGCAGGTAACGTAGATTTTTCGTAACGTTACATATGCTACAAAAATTATATGGGTGTTAGCATAAAATAATTATTAATTATGCACAACTAAAATCAATTTTATTTTATGATATATAACAATATCCTGCACAGTTTCATTTTCTCTACTATTTCAAGTATTAGAATGACATTTTTATAATTAATTTTCTATATTATGTATTTGCATTTCTTTTATATCTATTAAATTTTTAATTTTTAATTTATAATTTATATAAACAAAAGTATGAAACAAAAATTGAAATAAATTTGAAAATATGTATTTTAATGATCAAATTATTTAAAACAATAAAAATTGATAAAATTTATTTACTATTCGACAGGATATTATCGCGTTAACTATGATGATGAGAATTGGCGAAGAATTTCAAGTTACCTAAAATCTGATAATTACACGAAAATTCATGTTCTTAATCGTGCTCAAATTATCGATGATGCATTTCATTTAATGATAGCAAACCAACTCCAAACCCATATATTCTGGAATCTTATAGAGTATTTGCAACAAGAAGAAGATTATATAGCATGGTATCCTATGTTTAAAGCTATGGAATACATGTATGGTACTTTTCCATGGAGAGAACCGGATGGAAATATTACTGTAAATATTAATAAATTTCAATAAAAATATTACATTTTAAATATTTGCATATATACACTCATTGATCACAAATAATTTAAATACTTGGAAAAATATATCCAGCACCGATAAAATTATTTTACATTCTATTATATCGCAAACAAATGTGCAAACAAATTCAGTTTGAATAATCACTCACCTGAAGAACTGTCCGAAAAGTCTATAATTTTCACTACTCCAAATATTATTGGTATATAAAATTGTTATTTGATATATAGCAAGGTGCTTAAAATCTTTGTCAATAAATGCAATTATATTGGCTTTATATCAATATTACATGTTGTAATAAAAAAAATATTAAACATATATATAGTTAAAAAATTTAATTACATAATTCAAAAAGATATATTTTATACCTTATTTAAAAATAAAATATGATTAATAAATAGTTATAAAGCGATAATATCTATTAAATATTATAAAACATTTCGCACAAATTAAACCATATTTTTGCGTACAGGTATAATACATATGTATATTTGCACGTGCATATGTACGTAAATAGATAAACGTTAGCCTCTATAAGTGAATTTGTATTTATGTTTATTTTATAAAAAAAATTTTGCGTACAGGTATAATACATATGTATATTTGCACGTGCATATGTACGTGAATAGATAAATGTTAGCGTCGTAATAAATATATATTTAACAATTTTTAGTCTAGAGTAAAGTACGCATTAGAACAAGTACTTGGAAGAATCAAATATGAAGAAATTGATGATACAGACGAACTTAGAATATGTTTACGACAAGAAGCTGCAAGATGGGCATGTTTTCTTGAGAACTTCAGTTGTAAGAAAGAAGCCAAGAATAAATTAGAACAACATCTCCAAAATCGTACAAAACACAAGTAAATATTGTTATACATATATTTTTAGCCCTCCTTAATCAAATCCTCTTGTAGGTATCGCCTACAATGTTCAAATAATTCGATCAAGAGATCTATATACTAATCGTTAATAATAAAATTTAATTTTTTGTTATGTTTTAGAGTTTTGCCATGGTGGAAGAAATGGACATTTTGTAAAGGTTTGATGATAAATATCAACAAAACGATTTGGGAATCAGTGTATGCTATAGGATATGAAAAATCTGACACTAAATTATTAGAATACTTGGCTTGCACTGAAAATACTGATCTGATTAAACACCATTTAGAATATAAATCTGCTTACAGCTTTTTACATATTATTACGAGGCATGCGAAGAATCGAAGTACTTTGCAGTACATACTAAATGATTTTTTGAACATAAAACCAAAGTAATGTGACATATTTTTATAAATATTTTGTACAAAAATTGTGTTTTATATATATATATATATATATATATATTATTTGGTTTTCTCATTTTTAGAAATATTGGTATAATTGCAGCATTACTTATTATTATTAATAACATATATTCCAAAATTCTAGCTGAGGTAAAAATTTTAAATGTTTATATATCTATGTGTATAAAATGTGATAATAATGCGATATTAATATATATTATTTAATGTTTAAATAATTTTGATAATGTATAATAACGTTGTCTATTAATAATTGTAAAAATAATACATTTTAGCATATAAACGTATACCTTATATCGTTGATGACCAATGCAGACTTATACGTTGGAATAAAAGAAATGGTAAATTTAATAAATATTATTACGAAAAAGAAATATTGTTCTATCTCTCTTATTAATTTTGAATATTAATTTTATATTTGTTTTGTTTATTATATAAACAGTATATTAATTTCATTGTTCAAATTTTTGTTTATATATATTAGGATTCCATAATACAAAATTATGACAATATTGTAAGCAAAATATTAATTCGCAAATATCAAATCGAAAGACAGAGACAGTATTTTGAAAGTTTATTTGTCTAATGTGTGGGTGTAAAAAGAAAATTGCAGCTTTGCATACGTGGACATACATCATATGAATAATTTTTTATATTGTATATACTATTTATTTTACTACTTTAATTATTATTTATTTATATGTTTTACTATTTGATGCCTCCGCATTTACAAAACTTTATGACTGCATGCGTCAAGTTTTACATTTTTCTTTTGCGATCTTGCTTGATATAGGTGAAATATATATTATTACCTGTGTAGTCACAAGAAAGTAATATAATATTATAATAAATTTTACTATTCAATATAATATAACACGCACACACACACATATTGAATTATTATTTAATTTTCTATCATTTAATTATTATAAACATTTATAGCCAACATATTTATATATATATATATATATGTATGCGTGTGCATGTGTGTGTGTATATATAAATAGCAATATAATATATATATACGTGTATCATATTATATTCAGTAGATATTATATATTAAATATATAATTAATCCATTATAATATTAATAAATGTATGTATACATAAAATATATGTTTGTACAACAATAAGAATTAATAATATGTTAATGTTATATAAAAACTAATTTTAATTATATGTACTATATATGTTCAATATCAATATGTTATTATATAAAATTGATTGATTTTCATTTTTTAATTTACAGTAAATCACATAACATAATCTCTCTCTCTCTCCCCCCCCACTCTTCCGTAATCAACATTTTAATTTTAATAGAGTTATTTAAATAAAATATTAATCTTAATATTAATCAGATAAGAAATATATTTTCAATATTAATATTTATAAAATTATATTACATAACTTTAAAATTGTACAACATAATTTGGCGCTTACTACTAATATCTTTAAAAGACATAAAAATACTGCAAAATGTGTTAATCGTAAATATAAAAAAGAAGGAATACTATAAAAAACAATGGCCAACTATGACGAGCAAACCAATTACGATGTCACATTATTAAAATACTAAAACATTTATTAATCTTAAAATAATTTTAATAGAACTAAATTCAAATTACATATACATATACGTTTCGACTGCACGACAGTCTTTCTCAATGTTAATAGATAATATAAATTTTTATTAAGCCTCAGATTTGGTTAAAACATTTAATTTTTTATCAATAATAAACGCAGATTTTTAATCGCCTATACTCTCGCTTTTATTATTGACATCTTTATTAGAAAAAAATTTTTTACAATTGTCATTTTGGATTTTACTGTGATATTTGATTGCAGATGCCATTGCTGTCTACTCTTTTGTTGTCTATCTTTTTATTGTTGAATTTTTTCCGATATACATATAATCAGGAGTCGATAAAAGTTTTCTATTATTAAATTGTTAACCTTACGTAACTATCATATCCATGTGAGTCATATCATAAATTATCATAAAAAACAAGTACTTACATAATTTGTTCTGGCTATCAAAATATAATTTTTCTTATAACAACTCAGTTATATTCTTTTTAATACGCAAAGTTATTGATGTGTTGTTCTGATCAACTCACAAACGATACTGATATAATAATAAGTGTTAATCGTAATTAGAGTTTCCAATCCGAAGACATTTTAAAATTCCGGGATTACGGGATTTTTTGCACTCAATCTCGGGATCCCGGGACTAGTCCCGGGTTTATACATATGGAGCAAAATAATAATAATATTTAAGAAATTATAACTTTATTAATTAACAAAAAAAATAAATTTATGTTTATCCTCTTAATTACTATTTGTCATTTTTAAGTACTAAATCAAGATAACTATGTTATGTTATTTTTATGTACTTATTAGAAGAAATCTTTAAAAAATAATAAAATAAAATAACTTTTTGCAACTCGCAACTTTGAAAATTTTAAAAATATAAAACATTACACTCTGAAACTTTTTAGGAACATAAACGAATAAAATACTTATACATATATACTTAATGTATATATATTAAAACTCGGAACTAAGTTTTAAATATGGACACATTAAATATATTAATATATCTTTAATAAACACATTAAAATATCAATTAAAAATATTGATAATTGATAATGATAAACTAGAAATTATTATTAAAGTATAATTTTTGTATACATCAATATATTATATAAGTATAATTACTGAAACTGCAATCCCGAAATTTCGGGATTTATGGTGATGAATCCCGAGGATTTTCGAGATTGTAAATTGATCGGGATCCCGAGATCCCGGGATTCGTATCCCGGATTAGAACTCTAATCGTAATTTTAACTTAATCATATTTAATTAATTTAACAATTACATTTAAGAAGATGTAAACATAGATAGAAGATAACAAGTATAAAGCTGATCATCAAATCGATGTTTTCAATAAGTGCACGTCTAACATGTACTTCTTCCAATAAACACGATAAAACTTAATATCAAAAATTATATTACTATTTCATTTGCCTTTCTATTTATTTATAGTTTCTTATTATTCTTAATAATAATGTCGACTATGTTTAGCAAAATAAAATGTGTACAACAGTATCACAACATGAACAAAAGTTCGAAATTAGATAAAAATTCGTTAGACTAAAATTGGAAAACAATTAACACATATCTTAAAATCTTTCTATAGCTCATCAATTAGAATATGACAAGAGAGTTACTATGTAATATATGCACACATTTGCGTACAATTTTCTGTGTATATATATATATATATATATATATATATATATATATATATATATATATAATTTAGAAATTGAAGTAATTCTGACACGAAATAAAATACTGTAAAAAGAAAGGAAAAATCGATTATTATAATGATAATTTAATTTAATTCTTACTTACACAATTAAAATCAATTAAATGTTTCATATACTACCAAGATATAATTGACAAGAATAAAAGTGTATCAACGCATTGAAAAAAGTATTAAATTAAAAAATATTGTTATTTCTATACTGCTATATAAATCATTTTATTTGATACAATTAATATTTATCTGTTTTGGACAAAAATTTTCTTATATCAAATAAATATTTTTTACATCAAATCGATATTATTAATTTCACATAAATAATTTTTATTATAAAAGAGTATTGTATGTATATATATATATTTATATCTAGGCCAAATATACCATTTTGCGAAAACTCCATCTTTGATAAAACTTTCTCTCTTACTCGCTATTATTCGCTTGACTTTAACATTAAATATTTCGGTTATTATTAAGATATCGCAAAATGGTATAAGACTTTTTCGTTCGTATCGATGCGCTCTATCATCACACGAACGTTGTTAAGGGTGTTCCGGGACACCTTGTATATAACGACCTCCAAAGTTTTGTTGACTTAACACATCATATTTAGCATGATACACGTACAGAGAATCGACTGATTTCAGTATTTCGTTGGTCTTTCGAACCGTACAGAGAATCGACTGATGTCAGTTTTTCGAACTATACGTGGGAGATACAATACTTTTAATAAGTGTGTGAATCTATTATATTCTTCCAACATTGCGTGCTGCTAGTATTAATTGGTTGCAGTTAATTGTTAAAAAATATAATCTTTATCAATATACTTTGCAGTTAACATACTGTTTTTCCGAAATATAGGGTAAGTCAGAATAAGTTAAAAATATAATAAGTATATATATATTTGTCCACAATAACAAGAATATTTAATAAAATTAGTAATTAGCTCTGTTAAACTTAATAATTGTAAACAAAGAAGGACTATAAGAGCTACACTATCTTGACATTGTAATAAAAACCGTCTTTAATGTTTAATATTACAATTTAATTTATATTAAAATATTTTTATTGCGCTGAAGAAGACTTGAAATGTCAGCCGAAACGTCGCAAAATGTTTATTTCTTATGTATTTATTATTTGAGTTAAATGAATTTTATTAATATATATTAACTGTCACTGTATTATACGTTTAATAGCTCTTATAGCCCTTCTTTGTTTACAATCAATAATATTTAATCATACCGTATAACGGATATTTATAGAATTAATTATATATAGATATTTATGATATAAAGAGAATACTTGTATTCCAAATTATTTTTAATTTTAGTCCTGAGATAATTTCAAATAATATCGATAATATAATATTTTATGAATTGTAATGTTGAAATAATCGTGGACCAACAAAAGTTTGATATCCAATATAAACTATTTTCTGAAACTATACAATACTACAATTTACATAAAAGATATAATTATTATAATAGACACATTTAATTGTTCTTTCATTAATAAATTAAAAATTCTGTTTTCTAAACTTTGTCGTACTTTTAATTTGTATATAAAAAAATATCTGTGTGTATTTTAATACTTTAAATGATTTTTAAGTTGCGCTATTGAACTAAAATAACTTTAACAAAAAAATCAATCTTAAGTTATGCTGTTGAAGATTAAATATACAGTCAAGAAAAATAAAAGTAGAACAATTGTTTTAAATTTGCATTCGATATAACCCCTTATACGAGTAATATATTATGAAAATTTGAAAAAAATCAATTTTGTTAAAAAAAATAAATATAAAACAGTACTCAAAAATAGTAGAATTATATAATCAAATTAAATGAAACAGTTTGACAGTTGAAAAATAAAAAATTAAAATAATATCAATAACGCGCGCTTTGCGCACGTTTGTGTTGTCTGATACTGATACATAACAAAAATTCAGAAATTAAAATTATATACATAATCAAAATACAGAAATTAAATTATATGCATAATTAAAATCAGCGAAATAAAATTATGAACATATTTATAGCATCATGGCAACTGTCATCGAAAATTACAATTTAACAATTGTAAAATAAATAATAGAAATTATATTAAAAGCGCGTGCAAAGCACGCTCTTGTGTCATCTAGAAATTTAAAATAGACATCAAAACTATATTTATTTCTCTATTATCTTTTGTTTACAGTGTGATTTACAAATCTTAAATAAATATTCCTTTTCCAAATGATGATATTTCTAAAAACTATTATTAAGTAGCGGATTTATGTTTATCGCTGAGACGGCTTCTATTCGTAATGAATCATCTTTATGTTGTGATCCATCAGAATATAAACCCAATTCATTACGATATCAGCTTATATCATATATTGAAGGACATAATTTCTATGGAGATACAATATCAGTATAAGAAATTTTTTACAAAACGCAAGACATATTTTTATATTTAGGAGAATTAAGTATTAAAAATATAGTTTTAT